AGCATTGAGTTAACTTTGAGGGCATTCGTGAAAGTCTCACGAATATATATAATAAAATACAATATATAACACCTATATTATATATAATAAACATTATAATAATATATGATATATTATATAAATACTTATATATTTATATATAATATATAATTATAAATATATCAATATATTAACATATATTAATATATATTTATATAGTATATAAACATAATATATGTTATATTATAATTATATATATAATTATATAATATATAATAATTATATATAATGTATATTATAATATATAATATAAAATAGTATATAATAATATATAATATATAGTATATAAACATAATACATATTATATGTTTATATCTATTTATATATGTATATATACATATTACACACATATATATACATATACACATTTATATACATATATAAATATATATACATAAACATATTATATACATATATAAATATATATACATATATAAATTATATAATACATTATATATACAGTATATTAATATATAATATATTATATTTATATTAATATATAATACATATATAAAATATATAATATATAAATATACAATTATTTATAAATATATTCTATTAATATTTATTTTTGATATAAAATATAAAATATATTTATATATTATTTATATAATACATTTATTATATTTATTGTGTAATATATTATTATTAATATATTATATTCATATATGATTGTTATATAAATCATATTATTTATATTTTATAATTATATAATTAATTTAATTATATTATTAATTATATCATAATTTAATTATATTAAATTATATTATATAAATTATATAAACAATTTATTATATAAATTAATAAAATTATTAATATATTATTATATTTATATAATATATTTATATAAAATTATTTGTAAATAATTATTAATAACCATTATAAGACAGTTGCAGTTTGAGAGCAAATCACTCCCCTATTGCAGGATCTGTTGCTAGATGGTGGCTTTATAGTTTTAGGTCTATGTGCTATCACTGTTATAACTTGGCTGGGGAATTGGTCCAAAATTTCCTCTTTTTTCTTTCCTTAGTTCTCTTGACCAGAGATGGAATCCCCACGTCCTGCAGTGGAAGTGCAGAGTCTTAACCACTGGACTGCCAGGGAAGCCCCACACATTTTCCTCTTCAGTCAGCCTTAAATGCCTAATTTTGTTACTTCTTTATAAACACCTTCAGTAAATTTAATACTGAATCATAAGCATTATTTTTATTTAGCATTCATACACACAATTCATAATCTGCAGAATAAAGCTTTTCATAGCAAGTGTGAAAATCTAGGTGATTCTAGAGACAGATTTGCAATTGCTTGAACAAATATATCCATGAGTGCCGTAACTCTCACAGAGGTCTGATCAGTGGCTTGTTCATGTACCTTTTCTGATCAATCTTGAAAGTAAAAGTGAAAGTGTTAGTCACTCAGTTGTGTACAATTCTGCGACCCCATGGTCTGTCCATGCAATTCTCCAGGCAAGAATGTGGGAGTGGGTTGTCCTTCCCTTCTCCAAGAGATCTTCCTGACCCAGGGATTGAACCTGGGTCTCCTGCACTGCAGGCAGATTCTTCACCATCTGAGCTACCAGGGAAGCCCTCTGATCAATCTTAATTCTCAGAAATTTCAGTAAAAATATATTAATTTTGCAGCTGACACAATGCACAGAAGAATAATAAACAATGGGTTGGCAAAATGTTCATTTGAGTTTTTCATCAGGTTTAACATCTTACACAAAAACCCAAACAAAAAAATTTTTTAAACTTTTAATTTAGTATTGGGGTATTTAGCCAGTTAACAATGTGGTAGTTTCAGCTGAACAGTGAAGGGACTCAGCCAGACATGAACAAACTTTTTTGCCAAGCCCAATATAATGGATGATATTCAAAGTTCAATAATTATTTCTGTTGTAATTGAAAACTACGCTGAAGTATAAAAAGGATAAACATATGGCCTTGCAGTCAGGTTCAATAAATCAATTACACAAACATAGAATGGGGGAGACCTCAAGATGGCAATTTGTGTGGATAGATAAAGTAGACTTTAGGTGTTCCTTCTAATGGAAAGCTCAACATGAACCTACCCTGGAGGAGGAAACGGCAACCAACTCCAGCATTCGCTTGGAAAATCCCATGGACAAAGGAGCCTGGTGGGTTACAGTCCGTGGTGTCACAAAGAGCTGGACATGACTCAGCATGCATATTTGTAGTTTCTGATGGAAAGCTCAACATGAACCTATAGTGAGAAGCAGATACTAAAATAGTTTATGTAAATGAATCTTCATTAATAGAAGTGAGACAATGTCTGGATCACAGGAGGTAACAGTCTGTCAGGAAGAACCATGGTTTAAGTATGGGGTCAATTAGGGGGGTCAGATTGTAAGAGGGGCATGGATGAACCTGAGAAAATCTAAAAAAGGCTGGATGGTGGACAGTCTATGAGCCAATTCATATGAGGAATGTTGTAAGAACTGGGGGAGTTGAGTTGAGAAGACCATTTTCAGTGGTGACATTCATAAAAAAAAAAAAAAACCAAAGTTTAATTGCTGCTGCATAGAATAAAAAGATGAGTTCAGTTCTTTTCCAAAAGGAAGACCCAATATAGATGCATTGAAATAACAGGGAGGCACATCGTATTGACGCAGTAATGAGAGCTGATTAAAGATGTCACAGGACATGATGTGAACTAGCGAGCTTTCATCTCTGGAAATACCAGGCAGACTGGATGACCACTAGAAGGGAGGTGAAAGCAGGGGCTCTTGTATGGATAGGAGACTGGATAAGATGCTGGTCGAAGGTCTGGTCCAATTCTAAGACTGTATAGTCTTTGGATAAATCAACGTGCTTATATCAGTCTCGAGGGGCTAGCTGATTACTGTTCTTGTTTTCATCCTAAGAGAACAGAAATCAGTGTTTCCTCACAGTGGGAAGAGCCTGTGAATATGTAGGGAAGAGAAGACAGCTGCCTGCAAGCCAAGGAGAGAGGCCTTAGAATACAGCAGAACTGCTGACACCTTGACCTTGGACTTCCAGCCTCTAGGACTGTGAGAAATGCATTGTTTAAGCCATCCAGTCGGTGGTACTCTGCTATGGCAGCCCTGGCAAACCAACACAGATTTTTCTCCACCTTCTCTGACTGGAGTGATTTGGATGAAGTTTATCTGCCTAAGCCAGGAAATACTCTTATCTACAAAGAGGCGCGGCAGGAAAAAAAAAAAAAAAAGCCACTTTCCTAACAACTGTAGACTCTGTTGATACAGCGATTCAATGTCTGGGTATTTATCTGAAGGAAACAAAAACAGTAACTTGAAAAGACATATAGGACTTCCCTGGTGGTCCAGTGGTTAAGAATCTGCCTGCCATGCAGGGGACGAGGTTCGATCCTTGGTCCAGGAAGATTCCACGTGCCACACAGCCACAAACTGAGCCCACCCTGCAACTACTGAAGCCAGGTACTCTAGAGCCTGGGCTCCACAACAAGAGAAGCCCCTGCAAGGAGCACCCTTGCGCCGAAACTAGAGAGCAGCCCCTGCTTGCCACAACTAGAGGAAGCCCGTGCACAGCAAGGAAGACCTAGAGCAGCCAAAACTAAAATAAATAAAGTTTTAAAAAGATATATGCACCCCATATGCACTGCAGTGTTACTTAATGATAGCCAAGATATGGAAACAAGCTAAACGTCCATCAACTGATAAAAGCATAAAGAAAATACAGTGTACAAAAAGAAGGACATCTTGCCATTTGCAATAACATGGATGGTCCTTGAGGTCATTATGGTAAGTGAAATAAACCAGACAGAAAAATTAAATACTGTATAATCTCACACTTACATGGAATCTAAAAGCAACAAAAAAACCCTAACCAAGCTCAGAGATATAGAGAACAGACTGGGGGTTGCCAGAGGCATGGGGTAGGGCTAGGTGAAAGGATTCAAAAGGTATAAATTTCCGGTTATAAAATAAATAAGTCGTGGGATGTAATTTACAGCATGGTGGTTTTAGTCAACAACACTGTCTCATATATGAAAGTTACTAAGAGAGTAAATCATAACAGTTGTTACCACAAGAAAAAAAATTGTAACTGTGTGGTGACAGATGTTAACTAGACTTACTGTGATGATCATTTCACAATATATACATATATCAAGTCATTATGTCCTACATCTGAAACTGATATAATGTTGCATGTCAGTTACATCTTAACTGAGTGTAGGTAGCCAGTGGACAAGAGGCTCATTCCCATCGGCTGCAATTCCAGCGCAGGTAAGCCTTATGAAAATCAGTGAGGAGCACTTGATTAGGAGCCCTTGATGTCAAACTCCCCTCACTTAATTAACTCAACTAACTCAGGTAGGCCTAATGCTAAGTGAGATGCTTGCTTTCTGGTTCCTATGAAGAGTAAGTTCATTTTGTTGTTGTTTTCCCCTTTATGCTCTTTTGTATTTTTGATATTTTCTACTTGGGCTCCGAACTAAAACAAAGAAGAAAGGAAAACATATAATGCTTTTAACATTTCTTAAATGTTTTAAAAACATGTTTTATTCTGAGTCAACAAAACAAAGCATGAGTCTTTTCCCTTGAAGCAGCTTTTATGTGCACTGGAGAAGTCGACAAAAAAGCAAGAATGAAGGTAAGCTTTAAAACACATGGCCAGGGTCTTCCCTGGTGGTCCAGGGCCCAGGTTCCATCCCTGGTTGGGAAGCTAAGATCCCACAAGCTGAACGGTGTGGCCAAAAATAAGTAAATAAATAAATAAATAAATAAATAAATAAATAAAATAAGAACAAAACACATGGTCAGGATCACTGTTTACTCAGAAGAAAAGTAAATTCATATAATAAGACACCTTTTCAACAATCATTTTTATGCTTTCTCCATTTTACACTTCTGCCAATTTACAGACATTTGGGGAAAGTGAGTAGAAAGATCACTTTGCTGAAACGTTAGTTTTCTTTACAATTACAACATGAATTACCTTCATGTCCACTGTTGGGTCACCTTGCAGCAGTGTCCACTCATACTGGACGATGGCGTGGTCATCTGTGCTTTCTCGGCCGTCCAGAATCACGCCATCTGTGGGCAAATGCAAAACCACATCCTGCCCTGCCTTGCTGAGTGGAGGTTCGTCCTTTTCTGTGAAAGAAAATAAATAATTCATAAGCGAGATGATTCCCTATTTTTTCTCATTTATTATGAGAGGTATTTTTGCCAAGAGGATGTATAGCAACTGAAAATTATTTTCTTATTTTCATTGCAATAAACTAAATCTGGAAAGTTAAGGCAAGTTCTTGGATTCACATAAAATTCACATAGAAATGCTTGGAATCCAATTTTCATCTAGGAAAACAGAAGTTCACAGCTTCTTACTAGTTTTTATAAGGGAAGCTGACACAGAATTTGAGATATCCTAAAATATTAATAGCAAACAAGTGTGTACTGATATTTAGCTTTTCTCCTTCATGGTAAGTCTCACTGTGTCCACTAAATATTAAACATGATTAACAGCTGCTCCAGGGATGGTTGATAGATGGCATCAGATACAGAAAACATTCTTAAGATCAGAATTGTAGATATTTTACTTATTTAAGTATCTTATTAGTAAACTTATGCAAATCCACATATATTTTGATGAAGCTTAGTAATTTCTTTTTTGATGTGGACATTGTTAAAGTCTCCATTGAATTTATTACAGTATTTCTTCTGTTTCATGTTTTGGTTTTTTGACCATGAGGCATGTCAGATCTTAGCTCCCCGACCAAGGATCAAACCTGCACCCCCGGCCCCCCACCGCCGCAATGGAAGGTGAAGTCCTAACCACTGGGCCACCCGAGAAGTCCCAGAAACAGTAATTTAGCTGGGAAAAAACTCTGCAGGCTTTTGTAATACATCCTTATTGTCATCCACTATCTCTTCCTCCTCTTGAAGAAGGAATTCATAAGGCCTGGACTCCATCTCAGGCCTGTCCGTGCTGGGCGTGCATGGCCACCTCTCCAGTGGACTCTGAACTCTATGCTTAGCGCCTATGGGAATGACAATGGAAGGATAAGATCCCCTCTGGGCAGGGGAATCTTGAAGATCACATCCAGGTTACTCATTGCCTAAGAGGAAACATACCATAATCATCCCTGTCTCTGCACAGGTCATAAATTTTTTCCCGTTTCTATCAGGATGTAATCACAGGCTTATCGATTATTAACTGGTTTGAACGTGACCACGGGCTTATTGATTATTAACTGTAACTGCGGGCTTATTGATAATTAACTGTTTGAACACATAACATGTGAATGATGGGGTTATTGTAGTTGTATTTACCCTTCCTTTGTTTATGTAAGTCTCAAGGAAATTGGGGTGGTGGTTGGACATGTACACATGGGGTATAAAAGAATTTCACAAATGCTGGTTGGGGTCTTTGGCTAAGAGAAGACTGCCTTGGGCCTGCTGGTGTACTAAATTGCACTCCACTATCTGCATTGTCCTTCTGAGTGAGTTTGTTTCCCGGAAAGCATGGCTATAACACTCTAGCACCAAAACTTGATCAAAATTTTGGCCTGGATTTCCTTAACTTATTTTAAATGATGTTGCTAAGACATTGCTCTCTTTCTGCACAGCTGAAGTTGCCTCCAAAGTAAACTTCTAAGGGCCAGTCCAGATACTCACTGCCTTGAAGAGGAAAAGTTAAAATTTTACATAACCTCCTTCTGTAACTCAGCCTCTAACTCAGCTTGCAAACTCTAGATCTTGTAGGTCACATAGTCTCAGAAAGTGGGGACTTGCAGTACTAGGAACTGGAGCTTATCTCACTCACGTCCTGCTCTTTGCAATCGCTCAGCCCCTGCAAACCTGCTTAATCATGCCTATCCAGGTCAGGCCGCCCCCTTCCCCATCTTGTTCCCCCATGTGCGAAACCCCTTTGTTTAAACCAGCCTATTAACAGCTAGTGTTGCCCACTACAGTCTGTCTATAAAAACTCTGTAATCCCTTTGTTCAGGGCTCAGAGCTTATAGTGTTAACTCCTCTGGGCCCGCTGGCATAATAAACCTGGGTTCTCCAACAGTCCAAGTGTGGTGCTTGGTTTCTGAGTACTGGTTTCTGCAACAGCCTGACATTTGAAGCTAGCGGTAATCCTATTATTTTCTCAGACTGCAAGGAGATCAAACCAGCAAACCCGAAGGAAATCAACTTTGAATGTTCATTGGAAGGATTGATGCAGAAGCTGAAGCTCCAAAACTTCGGCCACCTGATGCGAAGAGCTGACTCATTGAAAAAGACCCTGATGCTAGGAAAGGTTGAGGGCAGGAGGAGAAGCGGACAGCAGGGGATGAGATGGTTAGATAGTAACACTGACTCAGTGAATGTTAGTTTGAGCAAACTCCAGGAGATGGTGGAGGACATCCCACCATTGCATGCATGGATGCGTGTGGCAATCCATGGGATCACAAAGAGCTGAACACGACTCAGCGACTAACACAAGGAATCAGCACACTTACTGTTGCCGAAGTGTACATGTTCCTATTGAGAAAATGAGTCCCATGTTCACAGTCATTTAAAACAATGAGGACTACTAATCAAATTATGCCACACAAGCAACCTCTGCCTTAGAAGACAATTGGTCTCTTTTTTTCCCCTTGAGCAAAGGTCCAGGGCCTGATGACTTTATTCTGCTTCTCCCAGGGAAGCAGTGAGATGACAACTGCATTACTAATAGGCCCTCTTTTAATTTTATAGAGAACTTTCCTTTGCTTCTTCAAGGTTCATCACTTTTGACACAATGGTTTACTACTTTACAATTCTGGAACCTTTTGTGCCTTGCTGCAAAGCTTGTGGAATCTTAGTTCCCCGACCGGGATTGAACACTCGCCCATTTCGAAAGTGGAAGAAGAGTGGAATCGTAACCGCTGGACTGCCAGGGAAGTCCTAGGCCCTCAGATTTAACCAAAAATATTTCAGATGGAAAAACCAGATATGCCTGGAAATATTGCACATATTGTAAAACTAATCCTTGCCCTCCTGGAAGAAAAAAAAAAATCATCACTCTAGTCATTTACTTTTCTTTAGGGAAGCTTAAAGATATGGTTTATGAACCCAGTAAAATCTTCATGTCCTCTAAATTGGTCGCTGTATCAGAAATACTAGAACTGTATTTCCTACTCGGTTTAACTCCAGGCAAATTACACTGCATAATGTCTTTAAAAATAAGTCAGAGCTGGGACTTCCCTGGTGGTCCAGTGGTTAAAAATCCACTTGCCAAGGCAGGGGACACTGTTTGATCCCTAGTCTGGAAACTAAGATCCCACTGAAGGAGGAAACAGACAGAACAGGCTCTGTCTTGAAAGCAGGACTCCATCTCAGGCTGGACTATGGACTTTGAGCTATGTGCCCAGTATCTCTGGTTTGGGCCCGTACACTTAGGGTATACAAGGTTTTCACAAAAACTGGTCGGGGTCCTTGGCTAAGAAGAGACTCTGCCTTGGGGCCCGCTGGTGTAATAAACTGAACTCCACTGTCTGCATTGTCTTTCTGAGTGAGTTTGTGTCCCGGAATGCATGGCTACAATACCACAAGCAGCGGGGCAACTAAGCCCATGAACCACAACTACCCAGCCGCAGTGTGCTAGAGGCCGAGCTCTGCAACAAGAGACGCCACCGTAATGAGAAGCCTGTGCATGGATACTACACAAAGCCTGCATGCAGCAACGAAGAACTAATGCAACCATAAATAAACACATAAATAAACAAAATCTTAAAAATAAAACAACCCAGAGTGATTTGGCTTAGGCGACTTAAGCCAGAAACAGGTCTTAAAAATAAACAAATGACAACAAAAAGAAGAGTCTGCCATCATTCAAAAAAAATTTGACTTGATGAAGAACAAGCTTAAATGTCACTTTGAGTTTTTGTTATACAACAAAACAAAACAAAATGTAATAAGCCAACGTGAAGTACTCTGGAAACACTGATTTCTTTTGAAGATTAAGCATATTTGGTATGATCCACAGAGATGAAATAAAACTCATACCCATCTTGATGGAGCATATCAAGGTGGCGCTTTACACAGAGAGGTATATTAACTACTCTGATTTTCGACATGTTGCTCTGAACAATGCCTTAATGACAAGAAATAGGAATCTGGGTCTTACTGCATGGGCACCAATAATAGCCAAGGCTGAAGATATGGAAGTGGGGCCAGACTAAGAGAAGAGGCTTAGATATTAAAGGTCAAAATCCATCTTGATTTTTTTCAGTTTATTTGCTTTTGTGATCTGTTTTCTTCATTGTGTGTTTTTCTTAATTGCAACATGTCAGGAAAAAATTATTTACAACCCCAATATAATTATCTTCATTTTTGGTGTGTATTGTTTGTCTTTCCCCATCTGAGCTGCCGATAATAGTAATTAATATTGGTGATGGTGATGTTTAGCTGCTCGGTCGTGTCCAACTCTTTACCACCCCATGGACTGTACCCTGCCAGGCTCCTCTGTCCACGGGATTACCCAGGCAGGAATACTGGAGTGGGCAGCCATTCCCTTCTCCAGAGTATCTTCCCCACCCAGGGATCGAACCTGGGCCTTCTGCATTGCAGGCAGATTCTTTATCACTGAGCCACCAGGGAAGCCCAATAATAAGTAACAGCTACTGTTTATTGGGTGATTTCTTTGTACCAGGCATCACACGAAGCATTTTTGAGCCATAAATTCACCCAATTTTCACAAGTCTCTGAGGAAACTAGGTCAGATTGGCTAACTTAGTTGCCTAAGACCACACAAGTGATAAATTTGTCAGTTGAGATGTCAGCTGAGATCTGTCTAACTGAAAGGCTCCACTCATCCCACTATACTTTGGGAGCACTCACATATATTCTAGTTACAGTAAATATAAAGTTACATCCTGAATTTAACCTAACTTATTGATGTATTCTTACTTATTGATATTTATTCATATATCCTACCATTGCTTCTGTCACTGTATAAACTTCACAGTTGTCATTTTAAGTCCCTAGCCTCTACTACTGGATATTACTTTGTTACCAATTATCTTCATCATCATACATAATGCCACAATAATTTTTTTGCTAATACTTTTCTTTAGCATGGATCATTTTCCTTAAAACATATCTCAGGAGAATGAATGTTTTAATGTTCTCTGGTATCTTTCTTGATTGATTTCCAAAAGAGACATTTCAATGTACACTCTCAGTGACCATGTATGATTATAAGTTCTCCACATGCATACCAATGTAACTCTTAAGTAAACTTATTACTGTCAGTGTAATAACAGTGCATGTGTGTGTGCTAAGTCGCTTCAGTTGTGTCCGACTCTTTGTGTCCCGATGGACTTATAGTCTGCCAGGCTCCTCTGTCCATGGGATTCTCCAGGCAAGAATACTGGAGTGGGTTGCCATGCCCTTCTCCAGGGAATCTTCCTGACCCAGGGACTGAAAGAGTCTCTAAGGTCTCCTGCATTGGCAGGAGGGTTCTTTACCACTAGTGCCACCTGGGAACAGGAAGCTGGTATTATTTGTATTTCTCTGATTACTTCTAAGTTTGAGCATTTTTCCATGTTTATCAATTAAATATCCTCTTCTGGAAACTGTGTTCATATCCTTTGCCTACTTCTTTTTGTTTTTCTTACTAATTCACATAATCAGGTCTCCTGCATTGCAGGCAGATTCTTTATCAGCTGAGCTACCAGGGAAGCCCCTGATTCATATAAGCTTACTATTAATATAATAAATACATTGGTCTCATAACTTCGCAGACTCCTATTTGCAATTTCTTTTGTTTCTTGACATAGTGAAGTTTTTAAAAACATGTGTATACTACATCCTTTCTCTTTGTGATCTCTTTAGTTGATTAGACAGTTATCTTCCCCCCAGACGTGTAATAGTGAATTTATTTTCTTCAAATCTTCTATGTATGGAGTAACCCATGGCCTAACTTTTTAAAAAATTATTTAATTCTTTAACCCATTTGGAATTTCTGTGTGATCAGAGTTGCAAGTCTCAATATATTCTCACTGGTTATCTCAATAGTATTACATAATTATTTGCAACTCTTTGGTGATATTTATTTATAACACAAAAGGGAGAGGTTGAAAATGTGAGAAACATGCAATAGGTCAGGCACTCATGGAGGGATGAGCTTTGAACCTTCCCAGGTCAGTTCTTTCCTTTGCCCTTGGAGTAGATGAGAGAGAGGCCAGGGATAGCTATGCGTGGGTTTGCAGAGGGGATGGCAGAGTGCTGTCCAACACCAACTTTCCCTAATACAGATGCAAGCCTGACTTCTCAGATTACCCTGCATTTGCTTAGAGATCCTGGTTTTCAGGCTGAATATCCAGTGGAAAGAGCATAAAGGTGCTGGCCCTTGAGCTCTTGGAGACTGTATTCTCCGGGTCCTCTGAGGTCCTAACTGCTGCACTCCCTCCTTCCTGCTGCTCCTCACTTTCATCAGAAAACATAGACCCCCAGTCCCTCCAGTCAGCCACACAATCCAGCCAAGGTCCCATAGTGACATCAGGTGCATGGGAACCACCGTTCTAATTCACAAAGCATGTCCACCCTTGATCCTCATGACAGCCCAGCTGGGAGGCAAGGCCAGCACTCGAGTCCTAAGAGGATGAACAGAGACCCTCATGGAGAAGAGCTGGCTTTCAAATTCAAGACTGAGACCAAAAGCCCTCTACCCTGCCTTTTGCACACAACTGCAGGCAGATTGTGTCAATTCAGCACACCTCTCTCTCCAGCATCCTCCACTCCTTCCCACCTTCTCCCATCATCCCAGGTAGCTGCTTAGTCAGTCTCACCCTGGAAACTCAACAGCGGGCATCTCTACTTCCAGGTGGCCTGATGCTGTTGGAGAAAGCATTCAAGCTGCCCCACAATACAGCTCCACAGGGCACAGCTCACGGCTCACATAACACAGCTCACAGCTCCACAAAACACAGGTCACAACTCACAAAGCACAGCTCACAACTTACAATGCATAGCTCCACTCACAGGGCACAGCTCACGGCTCACATAACACAGCTCACAGCTCCACAAAACACAGGTCACAACTCACAAAGCACAGCTCACAACTTACAATGCATAGCTCCACTCACAGGGCACAGCTCACGGCTCACATAACACAGCTCACAGCTCCACAAAACACAGGTCACAACTCACAAAGCACAGCTCACAACTTACAATGCATAGCTCCACAAAGCAGGTGATATGAGACCTTTGGGCAGGTTACTTTCTCTCACCAAGCCTTCAAGTACCCTGGGGATTACGAGAGAACCTAGATTTGGAAAGGACAGATTTGTGAGGACAGAGTGAGTTCACGTGTCTAAGGAGCTTATAGCAGTGCTGTTTATCAAACTCAATAAATGTCCGAAAAAAACAGGGCTGATGGGGTCCACTGTAACAACAAATGGCTGACAGGTCCGCTGAAAGTGTGTACTGTGCAATTCCACCTGGCCCCCTGCTCTTTTTTTCATGATCCTTGTATTCACCTCAAATGGACCCTAAAACATTTTCTGTAAATTTCGAAGCCATTTTCATGCTCCTTTAGCCTAAACGACATGTGCTCACGAGCTTCAGAAAAACAAAAAAACATTCATGAAGGAACCACTTAGTCTCAGAAGCACAGAGAACTTCAGGAGGTTAAGGATCTGGGCAGGAAAAACACAAGACATCAGGTAGGGTGATCTTCGCCCTCTCTGAGGACAGAATGAGGGCATTTTGGCCAAGCAGCACCCTTCCATGTGTCCACATTCCTGGGATGCAAAGAACTTGTGAGCAGAACAGCTCTTTTCCTGAATAAGGACCAAGCCCAGTGGTCATCTGGGTATACCCTGGAGCATCTCCAAAGTGAATTACTAGACAACCCCCCCCCCCTCACCCAGAGAAAGAAAGTTCAAAAAAGGAAGTAGAAGAAAAAATGATTCAGAAACTTCTACAATAAAGTCCCCCCTGCCCCCCTTGGCAGTCCCCCCTTCTTTCCTGGTTTCCACTTTCCTTTCTGTTTCACTGGCTTAGGAGAAAGCTCCATTTGGCAATGCTGGTTTCCTCCAGTTGTGCAGTGAGAAGGGAAAGGGATTTTGTTTCATTGGTGCTGGGATTTGTTTTTGAGTCCCTGCTTGGGCGGAGGAAAGATGTATGTGAAACAGCCATGGGATGCACGGTGAAAGTGCCTCCCACCTCCACTTCAGGGAGAAAACTTTGGGGTCCTTTGCAGTGTGTGCCTCAAGGCCTAGAAATCTCAGGTGACCTTGGATGTTTATTCCACTGGAGGTGGGAAGGGAGGTGGGCCATTGTCGACACAGATTTCCAGACCCTTCTCTTTGGACCTAAAGGTCATGGAGACTCCAGATTTCCAAAGTGGCTGAGGCTACGCCCCTCTAGTCTTGTTATGGTTTCACTCTTGCGTCATCATAAAGCAAACAGCAACAGACTGCAATCAAACACACTCAGCTGAACACAGGCAGGCCCAATCAAGCTTTTATTTCCTGAGACCTTATCTCCAACTGCCACATTTTTTTTTCTTTTTTGCCTCCTGTTTGGGTCTTAATTCTCATTCTGATCATCCCCAGAATAAAAACCATCAAATGAAAAGCATCCTTTTAAGCTTCTCTTCGAAAGAGAGGTGCTTTAAACTTTATTTTCAATTAATCGAGCTCCTTTTCTCCCGACTCCTTAACAAAGAGAACCATAGTTCACAGAAAATAGTTAGACCAATTTCAAAATAACCTGACCTGTTCCCTTCCCAATTTTGTCTGATGAAAGCAACTTTAGGTGGAATCATGAATCCTGAGAGCCAAGCTAAGAAATAAGGGTGTGCTGTGAGCAATCTGGCATCTAATTAGATTTTGCTCTTGTAATTACTTGACACAAACCATACCTTATAAGAACCTTTGAGACTAAAATAGACTTTCCCCCCTGAACTTTTCTCTTCCATTAAAGCGAATTTCCGTGAATCCTTTCAGATCAGTATTCCTCCCTAAACTTAGAAAAATTCCAGAAGCAGTCCACTGTGCCCGCTTCCACCCAGTCTACTGGGGGTTTCTCAAAAACCATCCCTAGGACTGAGATGTCAAAGCTGGATATTTCATTTCTGATTTGACTGAGGAGGGCCCAGCGGTCCTGCCTAGGTACGTCTCCCAGACGCAGCCACCAATAGGTACAAGGACAGACAGCAGGGCCCGAGCGACCAGGCCCGGGCCTCGGGTGGCGTGCTTACCCAGGCGAGGAGAGGCCCGGGCGAGGGCCGGGGCGCCAGCTTCCAGGCCTTCCTGCTCGCCCTCTGGGGCGCGGCTGAGGCTGTAGCTGCTGTAACCTCGGTGCAGCGCGAACTTGCATACGCTGCGGCCGCGCCAGGTGCAGTTGAAGAGATAGCAGCCGAGCGCGGCGGCCGGGGGCGCGGGCCGCCGGGGCAGCTCCACCACGGCCACGGAGCAGCGCGGCTCGAGGCAGCAAGCCTGCAGGCACTGCCGCCAGTCCCGCACGGCCGCCGGCGCGCTCAGGAAGCTGGCGCCGGCCGCGATCGAGTCCTTGGTGCGGATGATGGCGTCGGGCCTGGCCCTGTAGCCGCCGCCCCCAGGGCCCGGGCAGCCTTCCTGGGGGTCGCCGCCCGCGCGCAGCTCGAGCTCCAGCTCCTCCTGCGGCCTTTCCTGCTGCAGCTGTCGGTGGAACTCCTCCAGCAGCTGCTCCACTCCCGAGAGCTGCGCATGCAGCTCGGACAGCGGCGCGGAGGGCGAACCGGCCGCGCGGCCACCGGGCAGCCACAAGCACAGCAGCAACAGGCCGGGCAATGCCCGGCGCGGCGGCGGGCGCCTGCGCCCCGAGCCCGCGCCCTCCCGGGCGACGGAGGCCATGGCGGGCGGCGGCGGAGGAAGTGAGGCGACGCTGGGCGTCAGAGTGCGAGGGAGACGGAAGACGGGCGTGCGCCGGCCCCGGGATTCTCCGGCGCTGCCGCGGCGGGCGCTGGGCACCGGGGACCTCAAAGCGCGGCCTCCCCGTGGCCCCGCTGCGTCCCCGAGGCCGCAGGCGCGCTGTCGCCGGCGGGAATCGTAGCGGATGGAGGCATAGCCGGCCTGTCGCCCTGGCACCGCCCCTCGTCCCTTCCCGGAAGCCCGGGTGTGACGGCGTCTCTCTGCCAGGAGCCCGGGTCAGATCGAGGGCGAGAAAGAGGCCGCGTCTACCGGATCAGCACTCCGTGGTGAACAGCGGCCGCGGAGGTGGGGCGTGTCAAACCCCGCCCCGCCCAGCCCCTCCGGGCCCGCCCCTGCAGCATCGGCCCCGCCCCCCGCAAGCTCGGGCCCCGCCCGCGTTCCTTTCTTTCTTTTTTTTTTTTTTGTGGGCGGCGGGATAGGTAGCCGTCAGATATGCAGATGTCACCACCCTTAGGGAAGAAAGTAAAGAAGAACTACAGAGCCTCTTGAAAGTGAAAGAGGAGAGTGAAAAAGTTGGCTTAAAGCTCAACATTCAGAAAACTAAGATCATGGCATCTGGTCCCATCACTTCATGGCAAATAGATGGGGAAACAGTGGAAACAATGGCTGACTTTATTTTTCTGGGCTCCAAAATCACTGCAGATGGTGATTGCAGCCATGAAATTAAAAGACTCTTGCTCCTTGGAAGGAAAGTTATGACCAACCTAGACAGCATATTAAAATGCAGAGACATATGGCTGATTCATGTCAATGTATGACAAAAACCACTACAATATTGTAATTAGCCTCCAACTAATAAAAATAAATGGAAAAAAAAATGCAGAGACATTACTTTGCCAACGAAGGTCCGTCTAGTCAAGGCTATGGATTTTCCAGTGGTCATGTATGGATATGAGAGTTGGACTATAAAGAAAGCTGAGCGCCAAAGAATTGATGCTTTTGAACTGTGGTGTTGGAGAAGACTCTTGAGAGTCCCTTGGACTGCAAGGAGATCCAACCAGTCCATCCTAAAGGAGATCAGTCCTGACTGTTCGTTGGAAGGACTGATGTTGAAGCTGAAACTCCAATACTTTGGCCACCTGATGTGAAGAGCTGACTCATTTGGAAAAGACCCTGATGCTGGGAAAGATTGAGGGCAGGAGGAGAAGGGGACAACAGAGGATGAGATGGTTAGATGGCATCACCGACTCGATGGACATGGGTTTGGGTAAACTCCGGGAGTTGGTGACAGACAGGGAAGCCTGGCGTGCTGTGTGTGGTTCATGGGGTCGCAAAGAATCAGACACGACTGAGTGGCTGAGCTGATCTGAACTGAAGGTAGCCATGAAAAGAAGGTGGTGCCCCAGAGGAGTCTAGCGCCTCTCCCACCAGCCTCCACTTCTGGGCGGACATTCTGGTTCAAGCATGCTGGGCTTATTTTTTTTTTTTTAATTAAAAAAATCTTTTTGTCAGTTAGTAATTTATTGCCTTTTGACTCCAGGTGCATTTCAGTACACCCTCGGAGATAAACACAGGTATTCTTTTAAATCATTATTCTTTTTTTCTAGTAGCAGGGAGAAGACATGATTTTATTTTATGTTTTACCTTTTTTTTTCTTGAGGTATAATTGCTTTATAGTATTGTGTTAGTTTCTGATACACAGCAAAGTGAATCAGCTATATGTCTGTACGTGGAAGCAACCTAAGTGTCCATTGACAGATGAATGGAAGATGTGGTGCATATATATAAGGGAATATTGTTTAGCCATTTAAAGGAACAAAACTGGATCATTTTTGAGATGTGAATGGACCTAGAGTCTGTGAGACAGAGTAAAGTAAGTCAAAAAGAGAAAAATAAATATCATATGTGAAAAATAAGTATCATATATTAAGAATAAATATCACATTATGATATCATTATTAACCAGCCAGACCTGCTTTGTTTTCTTCTCAGTGCGACACGGGCTCCTGGAGAGGAGGGGAAGGGGTGTCTCCACAAATCCTTGTGACCTCAGGGCCACTCTAGAGAAGGGACGTGCTTCACTGGAGAACCACCTGGCACCATCTTCAGCGCTTCACCTCCAGTGTCCATGACTGTTTTCATCTTAGCTCCCCAAGATGCACTTGGTAACAGAAGACAGGCAGTGCTGTGAAACAACACAAACAGTGGTCACATTCATTCAATTTTCTACAAACTTAAACTAGAAACCTGAGCACAGTCACTTAAGGGGAGCTACAAAGTTCACTCTACAGTGCGCACAGAGGTCTTTGGCTGAAGTCTTATAAGATTGAGAGGAATTGTTTTATGTGACCTAATAAAGTATGGGCTACTTTATGGCCTATACCCCTGTGAAAAAGTCCAACCCAAGGAAGGCTACACCTGAAAGTTCTAGCTGCCTGTAAGCTGCTGCTGTGTCTCATTTACTTCTGAGTCTGTTTCTATTGATTCATTTTTCTCATGATTATGAATCACATTTTCTTGTTCCTAGCACATCCAGAAATTTTTTTTTTACTAGAAACTTGAGGATTGTGAATTTTACATTTTTAAATGTCTAGATTTTTAGGGGGGTATGAATAAATGACTGGATAGGAAATTAGGTCTCTGCTGTAGTTTATTTTCACAGATGACAGTTAGGAACCTATTGCTTTCAAATAAAGAACAGAGTAGGAGGTGAAATTGGAAACTAAACATAGAGAAAAAAAGAAAAAAAAATTAATCCAGTATTTTTTTGCCATTTGACGAAAAGGAGAAATTTTAAAGTTGTGTGTGTGTATGCGTATTTGAGTGATGTTGAAGCTTAAAAAAAAAAAAAATCTCTTAGCCCCAAAGGCTGTGTCTGGGCTGTAGCACTTTGGGCTGTAATTTCTTCCATTGTGAGATATTTACCCCACATGACCGCAGCCACTTTCAGTGCCCTGAGAGCCAATAAAAAAGTCTAATTTCAAAAAAAAAAAAAAAGAAAAAGAAAAAGCTTGCTATGAGGAGAAAATTCCACATGTAATAAGAATGGCTCCAGAGGTATCATCAAACCTTCTAAAACTATTATTATAATGATTAGTATTAAAAACCAACATGTATGATATAATATATCAACATGTATGATATAATAACTAACAATTGATAACATTGTATATGATTTCTTGGTTTGCAAACACTTTCAAACACACGATATCATACAGCCATCACAAAACTGTTAGATGAACAGGTGACATCACTCATCTCGGAGACAGTGAAGAGTCAGCACAGAGTGCAACCCACCTAGCTCACTTGCTCCACCGTGGTGGGGGAGGGTGGTGGGATGAGGAGGGGGAGGAGGGTGGGACCGCATTGCTCAGTGGCATTAAGTCCAAGCCCTTACAGCACCCACATAGTTTCCCCACTTTGCTAACTTCCCAATATTTTTGAGAAAAGTGGAAATGACTTTTCTTTCTTTCTTTCTTTCTTTCCTTTTTTTTACCATTAGGAATGGTTATTTCTAGGGTCAAGATAGGAGCAGTGAAGGGGAATGTTCACTTTCTTACTTTATAAGGCTTTGTATTGATTGAATTTTTTGCTATGACTGTGATAAAGGAAATCAATCCTGAATAGTCATTGGAAGGACTGATGCTGAAGCTGAAACTCCAATCCTTTGGCCACCTGATGCGAAGAACTGACTCATTTGAAAAGACCCTGATGCTGGGCAAGATTGAAGGCAGGAGAAAAAAGGGACGACAGAGGATGAGATAGTTGGATGGCATCTCTGACTCAGTGGACATGAGTTTGAGTAAACTCTGGGAATTGGTGGTGGACAGGGAGGCCTGGCACGCTGCAGTCCTTGGGGTTGGAAAGAGTAGGAGGTAACTGAGCAACTGAACTTGATAAAGGAAGTAATTTATTTATTATTTATAAATGTATTTATAAATTATCATTTCTAAAATAAATAAACTCATTTCCATTATTTTGGAAATAAGATAGCTTTGATTTGAAAGCCTAAACAAATCCTTATGAATGGACAGAAGAAATTTTATGTGAGGATATAGATGTCAGGACTGTGATCTGAATAAATGGAGATGTTTCTCTGTTTTATAAGATCATTAAGGGTAAAAGTCCAGCAAATTAAGAGTTGCACATTATGCATCAATTTATTGAAGGTTGGAACGAGGTTGTCATTCTAGTGACTGTCTTAAATGCTTTACAGGCAATAAACAAGTTAAACTAGTGCATGTAAGATCTTTACAGGGCACCTGGCATATGGAAGATGCTCAATAAATAATAATAACTATTATTTCTTGTTCTACCTTTTAAGTTTACAGGAAAAAAACCAGGTCCCAGAGAAATAAGGGAGCTTCCCCAAGATTAGAAGATGTGCAACTAGCTGAAGCCTGAATCCCCTACAACCTGCCGGCCCAGCAGTCATGTCGTGAAGGTTCGTCCCCATCCTCACCCCCTTCACAGCGTCTGCTCTGTCCACATGCCTGGAGGGGCAGCCCCAGCTCCCAGGTGACCCAGCTCGTCCACTGCTGATGGAACCATAATGAATTCCTGGCCCGAGCCCAGCAACCAACACTGTCTCCCAAGGGCAGAGAATCCAGGAACAATGGAGTCAGTGAGAGAAGTGAAGCTGGGAGGCCAGTGGTGGTGGTGGCGGGCACATGGTCCTGTGTGGGGTGATGGAGCAGAGAAGCTGCTCAGCTGAGGGGGTGCAGGGGCACCTGTAGAACATGGGGCACACGCAGTCCCCAGAGTGAAGGCAGGGGCTGCCTGACAACTTTCTCATCCCAGCAGCTTCCCTGGGCACTTCCCCGGCCTCCTCCTTGGATCCTCTGCACAGACTTGTATATATCATTGCTTAGTGATGGGGTTTGTCATGGTAAAATCTTTGTAGATCAGGCTTCCTTGGATGTCCAATGGTTAATAATCCACCTACCATTGCAGGGGACACGGGTTCAATTCCTGCTCCGGAA